TCTAGGATTTGATCATGAACCACTACACTAACTTGTGATTGAGTTCGTCACTTAGAATAAATAAATTCTCTAAATTTCCTAAGTCCCTAAACCCTTAAGTTTGTAAACCCAGTGAAGTAATTCCAAGATATTCCAGATACCTGTAAGACGTAAGATTCCCTAAGATTATAAAGTCCAACGATAAGAAAGTTACTTACTGCAGCAAAAAAACTTAGATATATTACGAGAAGTAATCAGAGAAGATTATTCCCAGTGATCATATGAAATTGGAATACAAAATCATATAATATGTATATAAACCTTATATAAAATGTATCATGTTTTTTTATAAGACATTTTTTATTAAAAAAAAGCAAAGAACATTTATTAAAGTAAATAATAATTAAAAATATTAATAGTTTAAAAATAGTTTTTATAAATAGTTTTTATATAACATCAGATAAGTTGCTTATTTGACATTTTAAACTAAATAATTATTACTATTTATAAGATAGCTAATATATTAAAATTAAAATTTGATTATTTAATATAATATTTATTTAGCATTTCATGCTGAATCTGAATAATTATTAATTATTAATCAAGTTTATAAAAATAATGAATTAGAGTAAATAAAGTAAATGTATTAATATTTTATTTAATAGTAATAAAATAAAATAGATAATAAGGCTAAATAAATCAAATTATAAAGAAAGTAAACTTAATAATGAATAAAATAAAAAAGATCATGTAAATGTTATTTTTAATAAGTTTTTGATAAAATATTAAATTTATGAAAGTTATACTTAAAAATAAAAATGTTGATGATACTTTAAAAATAATAAAAAAGGATTGGTAATAGAATCATTTTTAAATAATATAACTTTAGAAATATTTGTATCTTTTTAAAAATATTCACAAAAAGATTTAAAAGCAAAATAAATATTATTTAATCTATTTACAGAAAATTAGATCACATATCTTATATAAAAAATTTGTAAATTTTAATAATAATAATTAAATAATTAAAAAAATTAATATAATAAAGATTCATAATAAATAATATAAAATAAAATAAAATTTATTTATTTATTATATCATAAATTAAATGATTAAAGTTATTCTAATCCAATATATTATAAGATAATTTATTCTAATCCAATTTAATAAATTTTAGTGATTATTAGCAAAATAATATATAATTAAAATTAAGTTAATAGTTATTTAAAAATTATATTAATAATTATTATATAGGAGGTTTGCTAGGAAAATGGGACACTAAGTATTTTTTAATATTTATTACATTTTAATCTAATATTATCAAAAATTATAATACAATAAAAATTAAAATTTTAATAAATAATTCTCAGAACCCCATTTTCCTAATAAACTTATATAATAAAATATTAATATTAATAAATAATATAAGTATTATAATTTATATAAAAAAATTATAATTTAACTAGATTTTATAATAATATGTTTAATATAAAATATAATTGTTATTTATAATATACAGTAATTGTTTAATTAAATTAAATTATAATATTTGATTTATAATTTATATAATTTAATATTTTTATTATATAAATTTATATGAAATTATATATTATTATAAATAATTAGCTTAAAATTTAATTAGTATTAATTACACTTATTAAAATCTATTTTAATATATTATTTAAAAATATAAAACTTTTCTAAAACTTTTAATACTTGTTAAAACCTATAATATATTTAGTTAAAAATATTTATTATGAAAAATAATTTAAATATAAATATATAAAATTATTAAAATTATGTTTAATTACTATTAAATGTAAATTATATTAAATATTTAATGGTAAATAATGATTTATAATAAAATATATTATTTTTGATTTTAAGGATTTTTTTAATACTTTAATTTAAAGGAAACTTGACAATATACTGTAATGTACTTTTTTATATTTTACTGTATATTAACGTTAATTATTGAACTAACTGTACTAATTTTGTACTAACCTTATACTGTTTTAAATGTATAGGTCACATGTCATACTTTAGTCAAAGTGTTATGTCAAAATTGTTAATGTAATACTAAATAATAACAATAATAAATCACTGCATACTCTTTATACTCTTTACAAGGTATACAAGCTTCATTGTTATTAATATATTTTTTTTTATTTATAAAAACGAAAACGAATTATTTTAAATTTAAAATACAGCACTTATATGTTTAGGGATTAAGTTTAGTAAAAATTTATGATATAATTTATAATTCTCGCAGAAGTTTTCAACTTTAAAATATTTAAAAAAATGCTTTTAAAAATAGATTATTGAATGTCTATTTTTTTAACAAATATAATATAAAGAATTTGAAGTGTATACGTCAAAAGAGTTTGATCTTTCGATGTGCCATAAATAGTGGTCAAATAATCATATTGTCTAATAACACACTTATTCTGAAAATTTAATATCTTAAAATTTCAGATAATCTATGGTGTGATATTTTAAAAAAATAGTCGGAACTTTCAGCTTGCATGTCAGCAATAAAGAATGAAGCGTGTGACGCATTGGAAAGGAAACCTTATGGATTTTAAAAGTGGATTTTAAGAATTTTGTTTATTTTCCAATAAAATGTTTGGAGGGGTTATATTTATACCACAAGTTCTAAAGATCGATTGTTTATTTTTAGAAAGTAATGAAAGAATTGAAATGGCGGAATGATTGTTAATGCGGGTTAACGAACTTTTTTTCATTTCTACATAAAGAAAAGAGACGTTGGGGAATAATAAATTGACATGACATTTTGTTACACCAAAATTAAATCCTCCAAATTTTCGATGAAGAAAGACAAAGATGTGTCACGTATTATAAATAATAACCAATTGAATCGGATGTGTGTTACATTGTATGATTCATTATCCCATTTTCATTCAATTTTCCGAATATTCATGATGAAATATCATTGACTTAATTACTTATTCATCGTTGAATGAAAGTAATGAAAGCAAAGGAAATATTAAGTGCATGAAATGTCAAAAGAGAAAGGAAATCTAAATGTTGCAGTAATAAATTCATTACTTTAAAAATACTCTTTTTCCATCATAAAATAAGTAATGATTTGATTGATGGCTGAAATTATGATGAACCCATAATTCAATATGACATTCCATTTGAATCTCAAAATGTCTATTGTTTGGGCAAAGTAAATAATGTGTTTCCTTCATAATGTAACGCCAATCATTTAAAGGAGTGAGCTCACAAATGAGGGCGGAGTAACAATTGACATTTATAGAACAAAATGTGCTACCAAGCCTTTTTTTCAATGTATAAAAATATTTGTAATCTACAGCTAAATAAAGATAAATGCATTGTTCTCTAAAAAGAAGCTTGGGAAATCGTGTGGTTGGTCTTTCTCTTTCTTTTAAAGAACATTTTAATGAATAAAAAAAAAAAAATTTTTTTCTTTCGCAAAAAGACAAATATTCTTTTTATTACCTTTTTAATTAAAAAAAATATATTTTTTCATTTTTTTAAAGTAAAATCCTCCCTATAATTTTTTAACAAATTAAGATATTATTATTAATTAGCAAATATAAAAAAAAAAAAAAAAAAAAAAGTAAAAAATAAAATGACTAATGAACTCAATTATTCACCTTCTAATGATTCCTATTTTTGTAATGAATACTTGGATGATGCAAAAGATTTTGTATTAATCCAAAATACGCTTAATAGTAATCACAACGATGACGAAACTTTTAACAAACAATCAAGTTTATACTCCCAACAACAACAGAATCAAATTTCGACGCCCCCTACATCCCCTTTCTTAAATTCTTATGTACAATCTCCCTTATCTTGTGAGACTTCATCTTCTTCTTGTTCATCAACTTCCTTATCTCCAATCCTTACCCCAACTGCAACAACCCATCCATTTCAATTTACCACAAATTCTTTACCTGTTAGTCCGATATTTGAAAGCGTAAATGAGAAAAATGGAAATGATTATGATTTGTCATTGACGATAATGGAACGATATCAAAATAATAACGAATCATTGACTAGAAATTATGAGAAATCCAATAATTGTAATAATTTTTCTCCGTTAAACAATTCGATTCAGGAACAAATTTATTCAAACGACGAATTATTCGAATCGGCTCATGAACGATATAACAATGACAATGATAATAAAGTATCAAACGTTAAACCATATATTCATAGTATTAATAATAATAAGATTTATTATCATGAACCACCGCAACAGTTGCAATCTCAATCGTATATATTAAATGCACAATGGCAACAAAATCAATATCACGCTAGTGGACAATTAAAAGTCTCATCAATAGAACATCAACTTCAACATTTAAAACATAAGGATCCAAATGAAGAGAGATATGTAATGGATCCTGGTTTTATAAATTCGGATCTCAATTTGATGAATTGGACTTTTATTAAACCTAATTACCCTTTAATATTTGATCAAATGTATGATAAAGCAGACGGTTGCTTCTTTTTAGAAGGTATACCCTCTGAGTTTATTTTTGACTTTCATCAGCATTCTGATTTATTAATTGAAGGTTATTTTGTTAATGAAGATATTGGTCAAAGTTATTAAAAAAAATGTAAAAAAATTTTTATATAGACTATACTTGTAATTTAAAATATAGAGAATGTAGTTTTATATGTATAATAAGAATATAAGTTTTTAAAGTTTAATATTAAAACATAATAACATGATGTAATAAGTATTTTTAACATTTAAATTATATATGCATACCAAATGGGAATAGCATCAAATTTTTTTTTTTAAAAAAAACAAAATTTGGAAACTTACCATAACATATAAATTTAGCAATTTTTTTTATTGATTTCTTGACCTGAATTGTTAAAATTCATCCTTAAAAAAAGATTAGATCACTCAAGTCTAACGTTCCATTTAAGTCATTCAACACTGTTTTAAATAAGAATTACTAATCAAATTAACTATAAAAATATAAATTGAAATTAATGGACTATCTTCAGGAGTTATTTGATACTTTTGGATCAAACATAATCAGGAAAAAAAAGGAAAATAAAAAAAGGGAAAATTGCCCTGTGTCGATAATTTGTAAGGAGGAAGAATATTAATTTTCAGACATCATAACCCTTGGTTATATCAGTCCGACAGATTAATGAGGAAATTTGTTCAACATGTATTGCAGAACATGCAATGTAAAGTCACCACCTGTCATGTGATACATACAAATTGTCCTGTGAAATAACTAGTTTCACCCCCTTTGTCCTAAGCACAACCCATTGGTGGCTTGATAGAAGAAGAAACTGTGTTCAAACATTATTCCTTTTGTTCTTGATTTTTGATCCAATAAAAAAATTTTTCATTCTGAAAACACAAGTTAAAACATTAGAAATATTTCCTTTAGAAACGAATTTTGCAAGAATAGACTTCTTGCCATATATAACCTTGCGTTAAAAATCGAACTAATTGGCTTTTTTTTATATCCAACCTTGGTTCTGGTTTATTTGAATAAGGCTAGATAAAGCCACTTGAAACAATTTGAATTTCTTTGTAATTTATATAATGCTTTATCTTTGGATCTAATTTTTGTGCACGATTGTTTATATTTTATTTGACAATATGCTGATTTGTTTTTTTCCTAATTGCTAATGACCAAAAAGTTTGTTTCCTTTATTAGTTAGAAATTAGTACACTCATTGCCGAGCCTTACACAAATTTGAAATCTAATTAATCTAAAACCAATACACAGCATTTCAAAATTCGTATCTTTCTATAAACATAATAATTTGAACATCTTACATTCTTTTGTTCATGTCAGTAACAGAAAAAAAATATAACGTAATAATACTTCTATACCTGGATACCTATTATTTATGTGTTCTTATTTATATGGATTAAAATGGAGTTCGGAGATATGTTTATCTCATGCTCCGCAGTATCAAAATATGTTACTTATGTAGAAATAATTTATTAATGATAATCTAAAAATAATTTACCATACCAATTATCTTCTTTTTTTATTCACCTTATTATAGAAATCTTCTTTAAATAGATATATTAATTCGATAAAAAAAGGAAAAAAAAAAAATCATCCTTTTTTTTTAAAAAAAAAATTTTTCTTTTTCTCTTTCCTTTTTTTTCTTCACTTTATACCTTCCCTTAAAAAGAAAATATAGAAATTTCTTTAAATATTGATTGTTTATTGTTCAAGATGGCAAATTCAGTTCGAAAAAAGTTTTTGTATAGAACTCAAATTTTTATAATAGTATTTATAATAATTCTATTGATGACAAAAATTTGTCTCCACATTAATCCTGAATGGGATCCTTTTAAAAGTATAGGTAGCGTTTTTTTATTAAAAAAAAAATTCTTTTTTTTTATTCGTTAATCATATTTTAAATTTTTTTTATTTTTTTTTTAGATTTAGATGAAAATGATACAAGTGATATTATTACAAATGACAATTCACCAAAGAATGACTCGAGTGTTATCATCATTGGTGATAATCCATCTATAGTTAATGAAGAGGAAAACATCAAAAATGATACTACTTCACAGGATAATCATGACATAGTAAACGAAGAAGCAGAACAAGTTATATCATCTCCAAAGGACGTACCATTTACGATTATAACGGGAGCCAGTGAAAATCATTTTTGCCCTTTAAAAAGTTTTCTTTACACGACTCATGAAACCATAAAAGAATTCAAAAAGGCAAGGGTAATAGTATATGATTTGGGGTTATCCAACGAACAAATAGAAATCCTTGGTCGACTTCAAAAGAAAGGATACCTAACGAAATTAAAAAAGTTGGATTGGTCGAAATATCCTAAATTTTGGAATATATCAATAGCAAGAGGAGAATACGCTTGGAAACCTGGAATGATTCATGAAATATCAAAAGAATATCCTGGTTACGTAATTTGGTTGGATAGTGGAACTAAAGTAAAGAAATTCTTCTTCAACAATCTAGTTGGATTTTTAGAAGATTTTGATGGATTAGTTACACCAAATTCACCCGGTAACATGAAAACCTGGACTCATAAAGGGGTTTATGAATATTTTCACGATGATCATACGAAATATGATAAATTACCAAATTGTAATGGTGCAGCTATAGCATTTGATACTAATCGTACTCAAACGTTAATTGATGACTGGTATAATTGCGCTTTAGATAAAAATTGTATTGCCCCACCTGGGAGCAGCAGGAAAAATCACCGTCAAGATCAAGCCTTGCTCACTTATTTTGCCGCCAAAGAAGGCAGGATTTGTAATCAAAACAGAATCAAATTTGGTTTTCACATTCATGACGATGGAAATTGTAAACAAGAAATAGTTAATTATGAAAAAATACATGATTACATATAAATCATTAATATTTCAATATTTGTACTTTTTTTTTTCTTTTGATTTTGTAGATAGAAATAATTTTATAATCCTTTGTCTCTATTGTTATTATATTTTCAAACAAACAATTTTTACTTAATAAACGGCAGGCTACGTCAAGTACCGCCAAATTAATTTTTATTTTATTCTTAATTTTTTTATGTATGTATATTATATATATATGTATATATAAAAATTTGAAAAAAAAACAATATTTCAAAAAGTAAACGAATGAATTTATAAATAAATTGTTTATAATAGGGGATTTGAAATATTCACAAAAAAATATAAATACGAATGTAAAAGTTATCGTATAAAAACAAAATAAGCGAAGAACGAAAACCCAAATACATATGTATATATTTCCTTTGTCACAAAACGAGAGAAAATTTTTATAAAGGAGAGTGAGATAAAAAAGTGTAATATTTAAATTTACAAATTTTACATTTTTATTTAGGAACCAATCAATTAATTATAAAAGGAATTTTGTTTGAGGTTTTCGTCCAAAGAATCTGAATAATTTAAATGAGGATTCATATTCATCTATTTCTTTTCTAAAATCTTTTATCAATTTACAGAAAGATTCAGAATCCATGCATGAAAATTCTAAAAGCAACTTTTGAAATAAGAAAAAGACGGCTTCCCAGTCTTCAACGCTTCTTTCGCCAACAGATCCACCTTTCTTTCCGAAATGTGTCACCTTTTCCTCTAAGTGAACATCGACAAATCCTTGTTTAAGTAAAAGTTTGTCAAACTCATTGCAAAAATAAAAGTTGATGCCGCGTTGACTCCATAATGCCTGAACTAAATAAAAAAAAAAAAAATTTTTTTTTTTAATGTTTCGGAAAGAGAAATTTCGTTTCAAAGATGCGTCGTATTTATGACTTACATGCAGTGTATAAAGTTGTAAAAGCTGGACCAGGATTAATTAAATCATTACAATAATCCATAATTTCTAACCATCCACCGGGTTTTAAAACTCTCATTAATTCACTGAATATCAATTTCATATGTTTTTCAGCTATTAAGGATAGTACAACTTTAACGTGAATAAAATCGAATCTATGATCCGGATAGGGTAAACCCTGTGTAATGTCAACTGATTCAAACGTTGTGTTCAAGGGATGTGTGTCCATTGGATATTGAGGCGCAATATCTATCCCTGTGAAGTTGGATAAAGGGTAGAGTGCTGCCATCTCCAATGACCACAATCCTGAACCACAACCGACATCAAGAACCTCAACCCCACCTAATTTCAAGATCGTTTCAATTGGGGACGAAAAATTGGATTTCCATATTTGCCAATGTAAATAATGCTGCGATTGTAACCTATCAACCTCTTCATCATCATTTGGTAGCATATATTTGTTACTATCCTTTAAATATCTTCTTCCGTTAACATATTTGAATGATTCATCGTTGATACTACTATTCCTGCCAATACTTCCAAATTCATTATAGTTTTTGTTATTTTTATTCTTGTTAGATTTGTTCGAAGAAATTCTGTTACCCATCAAGTGTAATTATAAATATGATAATATAAAAAATTTTGTTTTAATCTTGTGTTTGGAAACAAAGTACAAAGGAATGAATTGTTAAAGAATGAATAAAGTCATAAAAGACAGAAAAAAAGAAAGTAAAAGTAAGAAAAACAAGATTGTGTACAAGGTATGCCTTTTAACTTTTCAAGAACAAAAATTATTTGGCAAGTGAGGATTAATTTGAACTGTTATCTCCATTTATATATTTTAAATTAAAGCCAAAAAAAAAAAAAAAAAAAAAAAAAAAAACAGTTATATATCTGTTTATTAATTGCAAACAAAAACAGGTGTAGCATAAAAATTAAAAGAAAAATATTTGTTTAAACAAAATATTAAAATTGTTTTTTTTCACACATTTATTGTACAAGTCAAAAAATTCATTTTTACAATTTTGAAATAACATTGTTCTGTCCCACAAATCATTTAATCAATTTTTTTCTGTATGACATTTAAAAAAAAATTCCACACCACAAACATCGTTACAGAAATGAAATTTTCATTTTACATACCATTTAAAATAAAACATGTTTCATTTCTATTGATCTTAAATTAAAAACGATTCTAAAAATATAAATTATGCGGAGACGTTGTCGTTGTTGTCATCTTTGTTTATAACCATTTGCGCTGTTTATTCAGCGATTATTAACCGCTTATGATGAATTACAATCATGATTATGATATGTTTTATTTTAAGAAAGACAAGATCTAATGTCGCAAATTGAATCAAAATGCATTAATTAAAATGATTTTCGGATAATTATCTTGGATCTATTCGGAATGAATTATTTTGAAAGGTTCTCAGATTGAACTTTAACCATTGACTATAATTAGAACGTCATCCAAATCTACATCTATATGCATATATGAAATTTATTGCTTCTTTTGATAAATTCACCGTGAGAAGAAGCTTTTTTTTTCTGTGATAAGTTTCAAATGTTTGCAATTTAAGAAATATCATGAAATTTGATTTTCACAGGAAACTGAATCAAAAAAATTTTCACATCACACAACTTGGGCGGACTGTTGAACGAATAGCATAATAACATTATATGTAAACTAATCAGTAGTGAAACAATCCGTCCGCGTAATATTTCATTAATCTATATTAATATCACAAGGAGATTCGGAATAAAGTTCGATTTATTTTATTCCTTTTTTGTAAATATGATACATAGGTTTTATATTTTTTTTACAACTTGAACATTTCCTGATTAAATAATTTTCTAAAATAGTACAACTATAATTCGAAATTCAGGACTATAAAATTTTATAGGAATATCAAGACAATTTATTGCCCGATTTTAAAGTTTAAAAACAAAATTCTAATGATTTCTTCAAAAAAAAATAAATTAAAAAAGTTCAAGGAAGAAAAAAAAAATACAAAAAAAATACAATCTAATTTAAATTAAAAAAATATATATATTTAAATTATTGATTCCAAATTAATTACCAATGACAACCGCTATTTGTAAAATTCTTTGGACCTTTCGTTCCAAAGGATATCGTGTTCAGAGATTTGCCTTTTATGTAAAATCCGGCGCGTTACATTTTAGAAGTTGACGTCATTTGTCAACGACCAAGATGAAAAGTACAATGTGACACGACCTTTTTTTAATATTGATGTATCAAATCAATTGTTGATATATTATTTAATTTATTTGCATGATTATTTGTTTAGACAACGTAATTTGATATTTTATTTTTATCTATAATTCGATTTTTTTTCGTGAATTACTCAATCAAATATACAGGTCAACGCCATTAATGTTATAATTCAAAGGAGTTATATATTATTATTTTGTTATTTGATTGGAATAATTGTGTGAAAGCAAAAAAAAGCCTCCAAAAATTTCTCTCCTAATAAATTCAAAATAATTATTATATAACATATATAACAACTCAATTTCAACGTAAATTTGCTTAGCTATTAAAATATTATTTATCCCTGTTTAATTTACACTATTAGGTTATTTAAGATATCTCCCTGTTTAATTTATACTATTAGGTTATATAAGATTCATCGCAACATTTTTCGCATTTAATAAATTTCTTTATATCTTTGGGCTCGTTTATAAACAATATCTAAGCCTCTTTAAAAAAAAAAAAAAAAAAAAAAGATTAAATAATTAAGATTAAAATTTTAAAATCATAAAATAAATTACTTACACATTTAATCTAAAAAGATCAAATATAAAGGTTAAATTAGTAATAGCCAGTGTGTCATAACCTTCAACTTTAATTGTTGTGCAAAGAATGAATAACGATTCTTTTATTTGTACAATATGTATAATATGACAGATTTTTAGATAATTTAGTTTGATTGATATTTTGTGTATTTTTCCTTTTTTAATATGATAAATAAATGTATCTTTGCTTCCAGATTTTTACAGTAATTTAATTTTTTTTTTTGATTATCTCTGATGTCTTTTTAATATTTTTAAAGAAAAAATCAAAGTTTGCATAAGCTAGCTTAAGTCAGATTAGTTATTAACTATCAGATTAAGTTAGATTGGTTAATTTTTTAGCTTATAAATAGATTACTTAATTTATATATAAAATAATTTTATAATAGCTTAAATTAAATAAATTGACTTTTTTGATCAGCTTATATAATTAAGAATATATATTTTTATTATTATAAAAAATAATATTATTATAAATATTATAAAATACAAAAATTAAAAAAATTTTATAAAAAATATGTAAAATCTTATTTATTTTTAAATAAAATCATACTTTATAAGGTTAGGTAAATTTATATTTAAATATAAAATTATATAAAATTATATAAAATAAATTATAAGTTTTATAAAAATATAATATAATATTAATTTATGATTAATCATTATTATAATTAGATTAAATTAATAATTAATAATAATATTATTAATTTAATCAAAAATATAAAAAAATTTTATAAAATTAAATTATTTTTTTAATGTTTTATATATTATTAATTATTTAATATATATATTATTATAAAAATTTATTTTTATTATATAGATTGCATTTAAAAAAAATAAGGTTTTGAAAATTTTTAATTAATTTTTAATATTTAAAATTTAAAATATAAATTTTTAAAAACTCATTTTTTTTAGCTCATCCGAACTAAAGATGAGAACTATAATTAATCCAAATTAATCTTATTGATAATAGCATATTTGCTGAGAATGCTTATTAGATAATATATACTTAAATTACTAAATTAAAAGGAAATAACATTATTAAATTTTGTAATTTTTAATGTTATAACTATATAAGAAGTCAAAATGAATCATTTTGACTATCTGAAATAGTTGAAATGGTCAAAATAATATCATATCATATGATTTTTTATATATAAAAAAAATTAATAAAAAACAAAAGATATAAAAGATATACAGTCATACCTCTCTATAGCGAATTTTTATATAACGAATTTTTTGGACAACTATATTAAATTTACCCTCGTTATAACGAACTAGCCAATCAAATTCTTTAAAAAATTCACTATAGCTCTATAGCGAAGTTGAAGTTCAGGACATAAAATTCGTTATATCAAGGGTTGACTGTACAGTCTTAGTCAATATCATTCTGATTCTCATAAAATAACTACTATTTGATTTCTTGCGATTAGACAAATTCAATAAACTAAATATTATTGATTTGATTAGTCAATCTCATGATAATTATAATTATATTTCCAAAATCCAGACCTTTTTATTTAAAGTAAATTTATTGAATTATAATTTTAGCTGATAATTCAATTACAATTATTTTGATATTGATTAATAATATTTAGTTTATTGGATCTATTTAGTTATAAGAAATCAAACAGTAGTTATTTTATAAGAAATAGTATGATATTGACTAAGATCATATAGTCAAACCTTAATATAGCAAACCCATATAGCGAATTTTTAAATCAAATATATTATATATACCTTATTATAGTGAATCAGCCAATTAAATTTTTTAAAAAATTTATTATAAGCTTATAATAAAGTTAAGATTCAAAACTTAGAGTTCGTTATATCAAGAGTTTATTGTATACCTTTTGTTTTTTTATATATGAAAAATATGTGATATAATATCATTTTGACCATTGTAAGTTTCATTTTAATTTTGATCCCTATAGTTTTTTTTTATATTTTTTTAGTAAAAGAATGTTTTCAAAGCTGTGAAGATATTTTTTATTATGACTTTTTAGTAAAATAACATCTTCAAATCTATAAAGACATTTTATATTATAGTGAATTCTTAATATAACGAATTCTAGGATTTGGATATCAACTTTGTTATAAGCTTATAACGAATTTTTTAAAGAATTTAATTAGCTAGTTCACTATAGTAAAGTAATTTTATATATTTAATTTAAAAATTTGCTATATCAATGGTTTGTTATATCAAGGTTTGACTGTATATGTTTTTAGTAAAAAAGGTATTTTTAAAGCTACAAAGACATTTTTGCTATAATTTTCTTAGTAAAAAGACATTTTTAAATTGCTTTAGTAAAAGCCACCCTTGAAGCTTTAGAGATGACTTTACTATTGATTTGAATCAAATCAAATATTTGAATACTTGATTTGAATTTAATTAAATCAAATCAAATCAAATATTAATTTGAATTTTATCAATCAAATTGCGAAATCCTAATTTTAAAATACATATTTTAAAATAATTAAATATAAAATATAAATTTATTATCCCTTAGACTGTAGAGCAGATAAATTTGCATGCAAAGTTAAAAAAATGTGTTAATTTCTTAATAAAATATTAAACATTAATTTTATTAATATCATTACTATATAAAAAATATAGTTTAATATATATTTTATTAACTTTATTAATAAAGATTTTAAGTTTTTTAAAAGATTTTTAA